ACATTCATTTTCAAATACATGGCATACTCGTCCAGGGAAAGCTGCAGATGGAGAAATATCTTTTGTGTTTGAAGGACATTCACATTGATATCCATCTAAATATTAAAATAATTTAAATTCTAATATTTTTACAAAAACCTGGCTGATCAATGCATTTTGCTCGCGGATCACAATCATTCAATTTTTGGTCTAAACATTCATTAACAATTGGGCGACAAGCTCTTCCTGGTAAACTAGGCGATGGAGAAACATCAGCAAATCCAGATTTACATTCACAATTATATCCGTCCTCTTCATCCAAACATTTTGCATTTCTATCACATGAATTAAGCTCGGGACGTTCACATTCATCAATCATTTGTTTGCATATTCGCCCCGGCCTTTCAGGTCGTAGATCATTAAATCCTTTTTTACAACGGCATTGAAAACTATCCTAAAAAATTTCAAATTTTTTTTCGAAATTTTTCGAAAAAAAAATTTTCCAGGCTTCAAAAAAATTTTCTAACCTCCAAATCGATACATTCTGCATGTAGGTGGCAATCGTTTAGATGAGGAAATTGGCATTCGTTAACCACTAATTTTTTAAAAATTAAAGAAATTAAAAATATCTTTACAACTCACAAGCTTGACACAATCTTCCGGGTCGTTCATTAGCTTTAGGAGAAATATCTTTAAAACCAGATCGACATTTACATGTAAAACCATCAACCAAATCTTGGCATTCCGCACTATAACATGGGAAATAATAGAAAAAAATAGATAAAGAATCCAACCTCGGATGGCAATCATTCAGCTGTGGGAATTGACATTCGTTAATGACTGTACAAGCTGCAGTACCACTAGTATTATTTTTAGTAGTAGCTCTTTCATAATTCAATGGGCAAGCACATTTTGGTTGGCCAGCAACAATTCGACAAACTTCATTCAATTCAACTTTACATCCTTTATTTCCAGCAGTTAATTGACACTCATCTGGTGGAGGAGTTGGACGGGGAACACAATAACGGCCTGGATGTGTTACACGATTTGGAGATTGATCAAGATAGTTTGATCGGCATTGACATGTAAATCTAATAAATTTAAGTTTGTACCTAAACATTTTTTCTAAATACTTAAGTTTGTACTTGAATATATTTCGATTTTGTAATTTTAAGTTTGAACTTGAAAATATTCCCTAAAGTTTATTTTAGTAATATTCAAGTTTGAACTTAAATATATATTCCGGAAAGTTTGTTTTTTAATAGTTAAGCTTGCACTTGAATATACATATTCCGGAAAGTATAATAAATAATATTTAAGTCTGAACTCAAATATATTCCGGAAAGTTTATTTTAGTAATATTCAAGTTTGAACTTAATATATTCCGGAAAGTTTGTTTTTTAATATTTAAGCTTGCACTTAAATATATATTTATGTTTGAACCCAAATATACATGTATATTCCGTAAAGTTTATTTTAGTAATATTCAAGTTTGAACTTAATATATTCCGGAAAGTTTAATTTGTAATATTTAAGTTTGAGCCTCATATATATCCCGGAAAGTTTATTTTAGCAACACTTACCCCTGTGCTAAATCCAAACAATCGGCATCACTATGACAGTCATCTTTCTTTAAAACACATTCATTAACTAATGCAGGTCTGCAGATACGTCCTGGCCTTTAAATAAAAATTGTTTTAAGTTTGTACATAAATAACTTTTTAATACCTTTGAGCAGGTTCAGGGCTTTCATCAACAAAATTTTGAGTACATTTACATGTATAACCAGAATCTGTATCATTGCAAATTGCATTTGGAGAGCAATCATGTAATCCTTGTGTACATTCATCAATCTAATATTTTTATAATTAATTTCAAAATTAAATTATTTCCAAGTGCCTTTGCCAAACATCGACGTCCAGGTTTTTGTAAAGGATCAGGTGAAACATCCAAATAATTTTTAGGACATTGACATTGATAACTGTCTTCAGTATCTGTACATATTGCTGTTGGAAAACAATCATGTTGACCAGCAGCACATTCATTAACCAAACGTTTACAATTACGACCAGGCCTAGTTTTTCGATCCAAAGAAACATCCAAATAATTTGGAGAACATTGACAAGTATAAGAATCTTTAAAAAATAAGAGTTCCAGAGAGTTTTGTAATATTCAAGTCTGGCACTTAAGTAAAAATATTCAAAAAATTTTTGGACAAACCAGGAGTATCTTGACATATTCCACCTTCTTTAGCACAATCATGAGTGCCTTTAGCACATTCATTTTCAAGTTGTTTGCAAAGACGGCCTGGTTTATGTGTAACATTTGGAGAAATATCAAGAAAGCCTTGACGGCAACGACAAGTATATCCCTCATCTGTATCTGTGCAAATGGCATGATCCTGTGGAAAAATCAGCAGATAAAAATTTCCTTTGAATAATAAGCAAACCGGCAGATCGCAATCATTCAAAGCTGGGTTGTCACACTCAGGTATGAATGGAATACAGACACGGCCTGGGGCATTGACAAGGTCGACACTTTTATCACGAAAGTTGGGAGGGCAAACACATTCATATTTGTCTGTTGATGCGTCATAGATACATCCTGAGGAAAAGATTAATTTTAGTCACTGGATCACTTCGGGTATTTTTTAATAGGTCGACGGGACGGTCATCCCGAGGGAGTAATCACCGAAATCGCATTCGTCACTTAAAACCCATGAGTTCGGGACAGTATTACGTAAATCTTGTACTGGATCCTGTCCCACGCCCATGCCAGGTCCCGTAGTTCTGACCTCTAGTAAATAAAAATAATTTTAAATAAACTAACTGGCATTCTTATCGCAATCATTTCTTCCCTCCTGGCATTTACTATTACTTTCTTGCACCTTTACACATTGTCGACCTGGATTTCGGAATTCATCTAGATCACTAAATCCGGCTTTACAAATACATTTGTATGAGTCATGACTTTAAAAGGAAAAGATTATAACATTTCCTGAAAAATTTTTTACGTATCCACACAAAATGCATCTGGGTGGCAAGTATTCAATTCTTCACGAGAACATTCATCAACTAATTTACGACAAACAATTCCAGATTCATGCCGCGCATTTGGAGATAAATCAACAAAACCAGGTTTACAACGACAAATGTATCCTTCAGCGGTGTCTACACACAAAGCATCAGGTGAACAACGAGTGTGTGTTTGACCTAGAGCACATTCATTAACTTCTCCAACACATAGACGACCCGGTTTGTTTACAGGATCTGGAGATTGGTCTAGAAAAATATATTGGTATAACATAACAAAAGTAAATGGAGTGTGCCAGTTTCGCCTTTCACCTTTTTTGGTGTTTCGTTTCGGTTTTCGTTTCGGCTTTTTAAAAATCACTTTCGGTACATCCCCTTCTCTGGTCCAAAAGTATAATAAAAAAAACCTAAATATCCAAGAGGGCAAACACACAAATAACTTTCATCAGTATCAATACATTTTGCAGCAGGATCGCAATCATTATCTCTTTTGTTTAAACATTCATTTCTCACTTTAAAAAATTTATTTTTTAAAAAATAATTTTAAAAAATCATACAGCAAATTTCAGTCGCTGGATGTCGTTTCTCTCCTGGTAAACACTGACAAGTATGAAATTGTCCAGAAGTATGTAAAAGGCAATGTTCACGTTTACGTATATCACATTCATCTTCACTTTTTCTAAGTGGATCACAAGATCCAGGAGGTCCACAATTTCCTGATCGAGGATTTAATGCCATTCCTGGAGGGCAAGTTTTGACATTAAGTGATGGAGAAAAGGTTGTTGAAGAAGTAAAGTTTGAAGGCAAATGTTGTTTATTTGAAGGTATATGAGAAAGTGAAGAAGATATACATATTCCTGAATGCATTTCTCGTGCATATGAGGCAGGACAAGCGCAGCGATGATTTCCTATAAAAATTGGGAATACCATAAATAGTCTATTACAATCCCAAACACTAATATGTATAAGCCCAAATGTAATATAAGCCCATCTTCAATATAAACCCATTCAGCGACATTTGAAGAATAGAAACCCAGAGCTTATATATTCTAAAAATGAATAACTTTAAAAATTACCAAAAGGTGTTCGTTGACACAATTCAGGATGTGGACAAGAAGTTGGTAACTGAAATATTCAATAAAGATTTAGAAATAATTAAAATTACTTCAGGATTGCATAAATCTCCACCACAAACATGGGTTAATGGATGTCTATCAAATCCACCATTAGGGCAGTGGCATGTTGGTTTCTTATTTATCAAAGTACAAATTTCATTCCGTGTTCTATCACATCCTGTTTGCGCGTCAACACTGCAACCAGTTGATAATTGAGTGGGACGTGATGGAGAGGGGCATGCTAGTTTTTGAACCTTAAATTAGAGCACTTAAAAGTTATTCTAAACTAAACAAATTTATACAATTGATCGAAGTCGCATATCCAAATCCTTAAAGCGATCAACATAAAACCAGCGTTGTTGAGAACCTATTAAAATAAATAATAATTATGAGCAAATCACACATTTATATCAGGGATGTCACGTGTTATACGAAACCCCCCAAGACTTGAAACCCAACACGAGGAGCCTCGGACTTTTTTTGACCCGAGACCCGAACCACGAATAAAAAATTAACGCAAACAGAATTTTCTCTTAACCCGTGACATCCCTCTAATTTATATATTTTTAAATTAAACCAGCTATCGATTCCAATTCTGAAGCAAGTACATGATCAGTAACTCCAATAGCAAAAGTATTTATATGTTGTTCTCTAGCCTTTTGTGCTGGTTCTGTTACATTATCCTGACTTCTTCCATCTGTTATAACTATAGCAACACGGCTTACATCAGTACTACTACTTGATGACGATGACGGAAGAGGAGAGGAAGGAGGACGTGCTCCTCGACGTTGGGCAAAACCTTCTTGAACCATATGTTGTATTGCTGCCCCAGTTCTTGTTAAACCAGTCAAATATTGAGTTTGAGCTATTGCTTGTAGTAAAGAATGTTTGTCAGAATATTGATTTAAGTCAAATTCATGTCTTATTTGATCACTATATTGAATTAATCCAACTCGTGTATTTTCTTGTCCAATATCAAAAAGTTCAACAAAATCGCTTATAAAACGAAGAACCTGAAAAGAAATGATTGAAAAATTTTTATTTTTGATAAAAATTTTTTAGTCTTCCATGAAGGCCTACATCTTTAATGCCAATTGATCTTGAAGACATACATTTCTCAAGACCTCACCCTTGAATGCCTATTACGTTAAATGCCTACACCATCGATATCCGCTTTAATCCATCCAAATACCTCGAAATCCGTCAAATCTCCTGTTATCGCAGATACCTCTCGAAATTCACTGATATCCCTCCTCAGATCCCACTATTAGACTTGTAATGAGATAAAAATAAAAAATGGCATAAGTCTTCAGGTCAACAGGCGTTAAGAGTTTAGTACACCTTCAGGATTGATCCAATTTTTTCTACCTCATTTCTAAAAACAGCAGAACCAATACTTCCAGAACCATCCACCAAAAACATCAAATCTGTTTTTTGCTTTGGGCAACTTGTTTGAACTGTACAAACACGTCCAGGAGGTAAATTTGCACTAGTAGAAACATCTACATATCCAGGAATACAACGACAACTATATCCTTGTTGTGTGTCTATACAATCAGCACTTTCATCACACGTATTTAAAGAACGATCGGCACATTCATTACTTGCTTAAAAATTAAAAAAATTTAATTTAACCGTATTTTATGTAATAGAGCCAATATATAAAAATCTAAAGGGATTTTTATTAAAGAGTGGTGAGGCTCTACTACAGAAAATTACTACAAGTTTAAAAAATCACCATTAGAGCATCGTCTTCCAGGTAGCAATTCATGTTGTGAAGATATATCAACAAAACCTTCCTTACAAATACAAGCAAAACCGTCAGTTGCGTCTACACATTCAGCAAAGGGTGAACAATCATGAGCTTGATTTGCACATTCATTTATTACTAAAAAATTGAGAATTTAAATTTTTTTTCTAAATTAATTCTACTCACATTCTTTACATATTCTTCCAGGTTTAGTTTCAGGATC